ACTGAGTTATGTAGATCTTCTAAATGTTGACTTAGTTTATTTTACAACAATAATCACATGTCACCTAGACTCTGAAAAACTCCTTTGTATGTTAGAAAGAGAATGAAACTGAAAAAATGCAAATGCTGTAAAAATTGTTATGACTTCATAGGTTCCCCAAATGGTTATGAGGTCTCCCCAGATATAGATCACTGGTGGTCAGTGAGCCAGGAAAGATATCATTTAACTGAGAGATTATAGTGCAGAAACTAGTACCTCCAAGATGTTTGCACACACCTAGTAGTTGTGAGTATTGTTTATGTAAATGTCCAATGGATATTCTTAATAAGTAATTTTATTCAATAGAGAAAAAACCCTGATATCAGTAAATAACTGAGGAAAATAAATCAATATTCAGAAACAGTGAAGGTATTTTGACTCATATATTACATTTATTATTTTTGATGGCTAACCTATATATTATACGTATTTTGTATGTCTTGAGCATATTGTTCAGCACAGCATTTTACAACATGATGTTTACTAAATGTTATTCTTTTAAAACCCATGACTATAATTTTAACCTGTATATTGTCAGCATAACTCATAAGCTGAATTTTAGCTTCACAGACTGCCCAGGCTGGAAATTGTCCCAAAAGGCCATTTCATGTGTTATCTATAGGGAAGTTTACTAACATAGATAAGACACCTAAGGACTCCCTCAAAAGGTTAAGAAAATATCTTATATGAATACATTAGAGGAAAGTTGTAGTGAGCCCATATCAATGACCTGATTAAAACTGGTGATGGAGAGAAAATAAGGGAAAGCTTCCAGAATTAGAATTAGCTATAAATTTCCCCACTATCGCTGCAGAAAACATACATCTGAGATAGAGTATGGAAAACATATGATACCACACATGAGTAAACATATGACGTCACTCACAGGTTTCTTCTTTGTTGTTTTTCATTTATCTTTCTTCTGTCTAATTTCAGTTGTCCTGAATACTTACACCTTCCTTACCCTGGAAGAGCTTTAAGACACTGTCTCGGATCTGTTTTATCTTTATCCCATAAACAACGGGGTTCAGAGTTGGGGGAAGAAGAAGATAAACATTAGCCACAATGATGTGAAGAGAAGGAGGAATGGTGTGTCCTCCAAAACAGATAAAGAAAGTGGTGGGTAAAGAAAGTGAAGAATGCTGGAACATAGGTGATGATGATGGCAGATATATGGGCAGTGCAGGTGCTGAAGGCCTTCTGCTGAGCATCTGCTGATGAGAGGCTGACCACTGCCCGGAGGATCATAGTGTAAGACACGGATATACAACAGATGTCAAACACTCCAATCAGGAGGGCAACCATCAGACCATAGATGACATTGACCTTGATGCTGGCACAAGATAATTTTACCACTGACATGTGGTCACAATATGTATGGGAGATAATATTGCTTTGGCAGAAGGGCAAGCGCTTGACCAAAAATGGAAAAGGAATCATCAGCAACACACCCCTCAAGAAGGTGGCAAGCCCAGCTTTGGCAATGACAGGGTTAGTGAGTATGGTAGCATAACGCAATGGGTAGCAAATGGCTAGATAGCGGTCCAGAGCCATGAGCATGAGCACACCAGACCCCACACCTGTGAACCCATGGACAAAGAACATTTGAACTAAGCAAGCATTGAAGTTAATTTCTTTGAGATTAAACCAGAAGATACAGAGTGCATTGGGTAGAGTGGTGGTGCAGGTAAAGAGGTCAGTGAACGAAAGCATGGCCAGAAAGAAATACATTGGACGATGTAAGGACTCCTCATGATGACTGAGGTACACAAGGCCAAGGTTTCCCACAAGAGAGATGATATACATTGTGCAGAATGGGAGGGAGATCCATACATGTACTCTTTCCAGGCCAGGTATTCCATTAAGAATAAAAGATTTGGGAGCCAGATATGTATAGTTGGAAACCAGCATGACTGTGCTCAATTCAACAGATGAGCTGTATTTTCCCAGAAGTCTCTATCCTGAGGAGAAGAAACTAAGAAATAGAAATTTAATTCAGACCATCTTTGAGAATGCACACTTAAATTTGGAATAAAATTACATTTCTAATAGTATCAACAATTTTAAATATTAATGACTATGACAATACACTATTGAATAATACTATAGTACAAGTAATATTTTAAAAGTTTATAAGCAGTCTAAATATAACTTTAAAGTCATAATAACAAAGTTGCAATTGATTTTTATCATCAAACAGAAGAAGAAACTGAGGCAAAGAGAGACCCAATAATGCTGAAAGTCACAAAACTAGGTTCAGGGACAGAAATGGTATTCATATATAACTCTAACATTCATGCAATCTCTTTACTCTGCATCTTGGTTTGACAGAGTACATAGCATATGATAGCAAGTTATAACTGCATGAAGGATAGCCTGAAATTTGTTTATTACATTAATTTTCTGTGGCAATATGTAATGAGACGATTAAGGTTATTTATACCAAACAATATCTTATTCAAATTTCAGCTCTCATATTAATTGTATGGCTTGCTGAGGTATACTTCATTCTTGAAGCCTCAGTTGCTCACCTATAATGCAAGGCTAATGATAGCTACCTGAAAGAGTTCTGAAAAATAGTAAGTTTAGTTTACTCCTTGGTTAGCATCCTGGTGGCTTCGATATACTAACTCAAAATGCAAGTGTACACACTGTATGGATATAAGATGAAAAAACAGTTGCCATGAAGGTCAATCTAACTTGATTGTTCCATGAAAAAGAAAAAGTTAGAAATCTCCCTTTCTCAGGATAACTGCATAAATTATATCAATGTCTATTCACCATGCTGTATACCTGAAACTAACATAAAAAAACATTGAATGTCAACTGTAATTGAAAAAATAATAATAATAAAAGAAATTTCTGTTTCTTGAATTCCCTGTAATCCACCAGTCACTGAGATCATCTATGTTCTTTCCATTTCCTCTGTCCTTACATAATTCAGGAGAAGCGTATTCTCTGGACTTCCCCTTTACTCTTTCCTTTGGAAATGTGTCCACTCTCATAACCTCCAGCCAACATGCAGATAATTTTCAGATAAATAATTTTATAGGAAAGCTATATCACAATTGTTGAGTCCTTCTTCTAAATGCCTACTGGATATTCCCACCTTAAATTTCCATAGACAGTTTAAATTCACCATGTCAAAGAATAAACTCATCACTTCAATCTCTATCCCATGACAAAATAGGTTCAATTTCTGAGTTCTGTCTTTTGGATAATAGTGTCATCATCTACCACATGATATACCACCATCTTTGTAATTTTCAGGTATTCCTCTCCCTCATCTTGGGTATAATTTTTTTTAAAGATTTTTATTGGGGAATTTGGGTGATGGGAACAGTGTTGGGGAATTGGGGGAAGGGGAACAGACAAGTTGCTGTCCTTTTTTGTTCTTCAGTCTAGTTGTGGAGGATGTTGCTTCACTGGCCCAAGTTGGCACCATCATTGCGCTCTTCTCTGGCGAGGCAGATCAGTCGCCGGCCTCTGGACGGCTGCTCAGTGCGGCTGCTGGCTGCTCACGCTGGCTGCTGGCTAAATACAGTAGCCCATGGCAACCCACTGCCACAGGGGCTGCAGCCTACGCCATCGCCAGCGACTCACGGCAGCCCAGCTCCAGGTTGAACTATTGTTCAGCATCTTAGCTGTAGAGGGCAGTGTCACTGGCCCTCATATGTGGGATCCAAACCGGGCCCTCTGGCGTCCCGAGCCAGTTCTTAACCAACGCGCCACTCGGCCGGCCCCGGTATAATTTCTTTATAGCTCAAAGTGTCTTGATTCTTACTCTGTCCAGGTTACCTCAGCATATGTATTGTCCTTACTATGTCCTCAGACAAGAACTTCTATTTTTAATCCAGAAGTGGAACCTCCACACTGCCTTCCATAGCGGCTGCACCAACCTGCATTCCCACCATCAGTGTTTGAAGGTTCCTTTTTCTCCACAGCCTCTCCAACACTTGTTATTATTTGTCTTGTTGATAATAGCCATTCTAACCAGTATGAGGTGATATTTCGTTGTGGTTTTTATTTACATTCCTCTGATGATTAGTGATATTGAGCATCTTTTCATATGTCTATTAGCCTTCTGTATGTCCTCTTTGGAGTAATGCTTATTCAGGTCCTCTGACCATTTTTTAATTGGATTCTTTGTATTTTTGTTGTTGATTTGCATGAGTTCCTCATATATTTTGGATATTAGCCCCTTATTGGAGGTGTTTTTGCAAATATCTTCTCCCATATCACATTAAAAAGCCATAGAGCCAAATACTTCTCAAGCTACATAATCTCCAAAGCTAAATTATTCTAGCATAAGGAAGATACTAAAAAATAGAAATGTATTGAAAAAGAAGCTGAATAAGGGGAATAAAGACCAACAAAACACTTATGCATAGTGAGCAGGAGAATATTTAGCTTGAGGAAATGGAACAAAAGTATGACCATAGGGTGGATGAAAATACGACGTCTGTCAATCAAGTTCACGAACATGTTGAAATGATGTTGTTAACTTTTTTGATATCAGAGAGATTATTTATTATTAATTTGTACCAACTGCAACTGGACAAAAAGTTAATCAAGTTTACTATTTGGAAGTGCTGAAAAGGCTGTGTGAAAAAATTAGGTGAAAATGACCTGAACTTTTCACCAACAATTCATGGCTTTTGTATCACGACAATGCACCAGCTCACATGGCACTGTCTGTGAGGGAGTTTTTAGTCACTAAACAGATAACTGTATTGGAACACACTACATACTAGCCTGATCTGGCCCCTAATGACTTCTTTATTTCCCCAAAGGTAAAGGAAATCTTGAAAGGAAGACATTTTGATGACATTCAGGGTAATATGTTGACAGCTCTAATGGCTATTCTAGAAAAAGTTCCAAAATTGCTTTGAAGAGTGAACTAGGCACTGGTGTTGGTGCATAGCTTCCCAAGAAGAGTGTTTTGAAGGTGACTGTAGTGATTTAACTACAAGTCCATCACCTTTGATGCCTGCCTTGTTCAGATGTACTTCATCCACACCTTCTCAGCCATTGAGTCTGGTGTTCTGGTGGCCATGGCCTTTGATCGGGTTGTAGCAATCTGGAACCCCCTCAGGTACAGCACCATCCTAACTAATGGTGTTGTCTGCAGAACAGGGGTAGTCATCTTGACAAGGGCAGTCTGTGTGGTCTTCCCTGTGCCTTTTCTCATCAAGCGGCTCCCCTTCTATGGCTCCAACATCCTCTCCCACTCCTTCTGCCTCCACCAAGATGTCATGCGCCTTGCCTGTGCCAGCACCCGTGTCAACAGCCTCTATGGCCTCATTGCTGTCATCTTCACCAAGGGCTCTGACTCCCTCTCCATCCTCCTTTCCTATGTGTTCATACTCCGAACAGTAATGGCCATAACCTCAGGGGAGGGCCGGCTGAAGGCACTCAACACCTGTGTTTCACACATCTGTGCTGTACTCATCTTCTATGTACCACTCATCGGGGTGTCTGTCATTCATCGTTTTGGAAAGCACCTTTCACCGCTGACTCATGCCCTCATGGCTAATGCCTACCTTATTGTACCCCCTGTGCTAAACCCCATAGTCTATACTGTGAAGACCAAGGAGATACGAAGGAAGATCATCCAGATATTTGTTCAAACCAAGATCACTGCAGAGGGTCAGGGTCTGCCTGTTTGAGAGAGGAAGAATCTATTCTGTAAAAGCTCTTATGGCTATGAAAAATAAAGGTTTATATATTTTTTTCACATTACTGTGTGATTTGAATAGGGCAAAGATAGATTTGCCTGTTCTCAGAGCATACTTTCTTATTCCTGTGCTAAACTGCCTTTTGTTCAGTACAGAAAGAGTGACATTAATGGGAGCCATTCAATGTACTGTCCTGTATCCCTGCATTTTTGAGTTGGCATATAACAGCTGAAGGCAGGGAATATCACTCATTCCATTTTGTAATAATGCTTTTGCACAGAAATATTTCATTCATTTTATGCTTTTTAAATTAAAGCTCATTAAATTTGATTTAGTTTAACATTCTAGCTTTAGAGTTATGAATGGCCTGCATTGGCTTAATATGGGAAAAAAATGAACTATACTTATTAAATAATAAGAGAACACCAGGGGATAATACATTATTAAATAATATATGAATCAGAAAAATGATGACATTTCAGGATTAAGAATATAAATGTATACAATTGAGGAGGGGCCAACTATGTTGTATAATTTAGGATCAAAAATTAAGGGTGAGTTTTAACTTTTCTGTGTGTGACTCTTTCCTTCTCATAACTGTAATTTTTAATTTTGAAAATGGAAATGATATCACTTGGCATCTAGTATTGTTACAAAATTAAATTTAATCATATAAATACAATTATTTGTAAACTTAGAAATGCTGTGAATCTATAAGAAGTGTTTAAAAATATCAAATGTAAGAGAACTTATATTTATAGACTGGCCATTAATTAGAAGAAACAGTGCCAGAGCCTTCTACGTGTTATCTTATTTGATAATTACAGCATCCCTGTGAGGGAGGCTGTAATGTACTGTTTCCAGATGAAGATATGAGGCACAGAGCCACTCATTTGTTGGCCAAGGCTCATGTAGGCAGATTTCCTGGAGAATGTTGGAAATCACCTATGTCGCTGGAGTTAGATAAAATGAGTTAGGCTGAGTGGGGTAGACACTCATAATAAAGGTTTAAAGAATCATTATGGATTTTGTTTGAAAGCAAACTAAGTATAGGAAATACAAAGAACAAAGGCACGTGTATACACTGAGCTATTTGTACTCCCTAACATGGTCAAAATGACTTTTTCTAATTTACTGTTTGATTGTTAAAAATCTATGATAAAAGATTCTTTGTGACTTGAGCAGTGTCATTATCTATTACTCAAATGAGTATCAAGTTTAGAAGTTTGTTAGTGCAGACCTTAGGTTGGTTAAGATTAATTTAGTAAGTGTATGTATGCAAGAAATGAATATTTTCATTTTAATATTGCTTTCAGGTTCAAGAGGCCTTACTGAATTAATCTTAGATAGTTTCATTAAAATAAGCTTTATTTTTTAATTCTATAAGAAACAAAAGCACATTGCAGACATTTAACAAAATCATAAAGTATAAATAGCATTTAAATATTCTGGACTATGCAGGGAGAGTTGAGCCCTATCACTCCTGGAAGCTCTTGTTAAGAGTTAGCCAATACAATCACAGTCCTAAATCTGGAGCAGGTCACAGTCCTGAATTTGGAGCAGGGAGTGCAATCCAGAGTTATTCCTGTTGTTAAGAGGCTAGGTAGATCTCAAGCTGTTCTTTTGACTTGGGGGTAAGGTCCTTAGATGCAGTGTAAAGCGACTAATATCCTCAGGGGATGAACAAGTCTCTGACAACTTTCAGTTCTTGGGTGTTTTCACCCATATGCGATGTTTGAAATTTAATCTATACCAAAAATTTCTAAATCATACTCTACAGTTTAGAGACAAATAGAAATGCTCTGCATAGCTGTTGTCTTTGGGGACTTAAGTACATAAAGGCAGAAACAATTGTTCTGGCGAAGGAATTTTTGGGTTTCCCTATGTCCCTTTCTGTCACTTTCACTTTTACCCTTTAAAGATGAAGATGATGATGGCCACAGCAACAGCGGTATCAGCAGTAGTAGTACTAGCTGCAGTACTGTAAGGGTCATGGTATACTTTTAGGGATTTAGCAATCTAGTTTGGTTTACTGAATTATAGTTTGATTTACTACATTTTGTAGCTTTTCCCTTCCTCTTCTTTGTTTCTCTCCCTCACTGCCCAATTTAATTGCTCTGCTTTCCCAAGGCTACACACATACCTCATCAATCTGTTAATCAGCAGAACAATAACTTGCAAGAAACTGAGTCAGCCTTCAGCCATCCGTCGGGACACCTGCAATCAGGCTGCAATGCTGGACTGCAATTTTCTGTCACATGACATACGAATCATCCCTACGACCAGGTTTGAGATAACCGTCATAGAACAAACCAGACACCAGGAGAGTAGCATGACTAACTCCCCCTTTCCTTTGTTCTGTTCCTTCTTGTGTACCTATAAAACCTCTGACTGTTCTAGGAAGGGGGAAGGTGGTCTCTGAGACAATAGTCTGCCATCTTCCCTGAATGTCAGCATTTTGAACAGATCTACTTTGCTTTCCATCAACCCTTGTTTCTTGATCATTGGCTCATGAGCCAAGCAGCTGAACCTGAGTTTGGTACAATACCATCTACTAAATAATAACCAAAATAACTGGTATTTTAGACATGGTTTCATTACTTCTGGAATTAACTCTATGAGTGAATATATTAAGAGCAAGGGCTTAGGTATTATACACCCCTGAGTTTCAATTCTGGCTGTGTTACTTATTATCTGTGTGATATGGGCAAGATTCATAATTTATTTAATGCTAATTGTCCTGGTCTACAAAATTTAGATAGGATTGCTTATTTTATAAAGTTACAGAGATTAAAAAACAATGCTTAGCCCATGTAAGTAAGGCTTAGCCCAGGGCCTGGAAATAAAAAGTATTTAATAAATATCAGCTGGTATTATTATTATCATTATTATTATTAATTATTGTTCTCAATTGAAAAACCACATTGAGGCACAGAGGGTTTATGTTACTTGGTCAAGTTTACATACAAGTTAAGTGGGCACAGCCACAATTTGAAACATCATTACTCTAGCTCCAAGATTAACAAACAAGAGACTATAAATATTTGTAATTTGTCTACATAAATCAAGCTGAAGGAGATTTGAGGGGAAATATTTGATTTGTTAATTAGAAATAGAAATGAGCCATGGAAAACATGGTTTTCATATAGCAGTGGAGACAAAAGTGCTAGAGAAAGGATTGCAGAGTGAGGATATGAAGTACGTATGTAGGTTGCCCATAAAGAATTTAGATTTTTTATTTTGCCACCTCATGGTCCCATCAGAGAATGAAAAAATAATGGCATTCTAAGGGCACAAAGTTAATTGTCTCTGTTATCACAGTTTATGAACACTGTAAATATATTCTGTGGTGGTTGGCTTTTATCTTTAGTCTATGGTAGTTTTCAAATTTTTGGTTATGTATCTGTATAAGGGGATAAAAAGATGTTCTCTAATATATTTACATTTTATTTTTATTCATTTAAAAATTGTATACAGACATTGCAATACTACTACCTTACGTATATAACAATACATTAAGGAAAATAAACATTTTTGAAGGATAAGATAAACTGAAATACAAATAAAAGTTCTATTATTTTCTCCTTGCAGACCAATTGATGATAATATGTCCTGTTTGAGAGTCATGTTTTCTATTTAGATAGCATCAATATTGAGACATTGGCAGATATTTTTATTCTGCACAAACCAACAATATTCAAGTAATTTCCATTGAAAATATAAATTTTGTGTCAATCTTGAAACTTTAGTCTTAATCTGACTCTCTGTCTAGTTTTAGCCTGGCAAGCCGAACCTTTTCCTTAAGGATTTCACAATATTGATTATCAGCTTATCTCCCATGCGTCTCTATCTGAGGATCACTGGTTCCTTCCCTCTCCCTGGAATTAGCTTGTAAACCTAGAAAACCCTAATACATGGGTAGAGTCTCAATTCACAGGCTTTATAATTTCAACAGATCTAAATTTGAATCTAATTCTGCCACTTAGAAACTGTAAGGCTTTGAGCAAGTTACTGAACTGCTCTAAATCTCATTTCTCCCGTGTGTAAAATGTTTATAACACCTACTCCAAAAGATTGTTGGGAGAATTCATCAAGATAATATATAAAGGCAGCTAACATTATTAGTATTACCAAATTAAATGTGATATTGTCATTTAATACCTACTTAACTTGTAATTTGTATGTCTTTCCTTACAGAGAAATATGCCAGGGATCGAGCAGAAAATTAGTGCATTTTTCTCTGTATCTCCAGGGTCTGGCATCATGACTGGCATTTCATTAGTGTTAAATGTATATTTATTGAGTTAGTAAATAACACCCCCTAGCAACTTGATTGTTTAATGATTAACAAAACACTTAAAGCAAGTATTAGCATCAATGCAAAGACACTTTGCATTTGACATACTCATCCCCCCACATGTGTACACTGCTTTCTTAACTTCTTCCCAGTGCTGAACGTTTTCACTTGTCCTCATACAAAGCCCAGCAGTAATTTTACTTGGTAAAGTTTTTTGCTGGATTCTCTAGTACACAGCAAAACAGACTTCACGCTGGGTCAAAAAAGTAAAGGAAGAACACCTACTAGCCTATTGAGTATATGGCAGAAAACTAGAACTGTTATAAATCCGTAAAGAAGTGATATCCCTTAAAAGAAAAGGTATAAATTAACTACAGATGTGTCCGTTTTAATTTTATCCTAGGCACACTACCCAATAAACACCAAACAAAAATAAATACTATTTGATTTTGTAACAGTTTTCTTTGCTCTGTTTAAAAATAAAGGGGCTGCATCAGTAGATGACTGGATTAAGAAACTTTGGTACATTTACACAATGGAGTATTATTCAGCTATAAAGAAGAAGGAAATAGTACCCTTTGCAACAATATGGAT